CACCAGGACGTTACCCAAAGACGTAATATCCAAATGGCGGAGCATTTGGTAAGTTATCCCATCGAGACCAGGGCTTGTGTTCGCAGCTGTTGATAAGGCCTTTTGTAGTTCCAGAAATGTAAAATTGCCATTGTATGAAGATGATCGACGAGTGTGAAAATTGATATTATGACGTTCAGCGTTGAGTTTATGGTTTTGGAAAACCGGGCTGTAACTCTCTGTACTAGAGATAGCGGCGAATGTCTCACCTAGCATGTTACATACATCAATGGGAGCAGAGTAGACTGTATCGTTCTTTTCTAATATAGGGAAATGAAATTCGCGGTATATGCCGTTTGCCTTTTTTACTCTCGACCAAACTTGTTTGGGAGATGTCATTGATGATATAGATGAGACATAGCGTTTCCATGATTCTCTTTGGCTACGGCGTCGGACTTTACGAGCAAACGCTTTAGCTCTTTTAAATGCTACAAGATTTGATGTGGAAGGTGAACGACGGAAGAGACTCCAAAGTCGTTTCTGTTCCTTGTAGTAATTCAATGACACTTGTATACATTTACCTATGGATACATTATTCTCAGCATAGAAATGACAAAATACCATAGGCCCTAGCTATATGACAAAGATGTCACAACCTTCGGAAAAAGTTCACCATAAGTCTATGGTAAAAATTTGCTAATGGTATATGGCAAACGTTTAAAAAAATTATACCAAAGGCAAAATAAAATAAATTAAAATAAATATTATACCATAGGGTAATCCTATTAGGTTTAAAACCATACCAAACAACATTATGAAGTTAAAAAAACAAACTTTGTATTGTATTTTGACAATCAAAAAATAATTGAGGAACTTAAATAAAACTCGCATACCTTTATGTATTGTTCAAGGCAAAAATCAAGATCTAAATCATTATCTAAAGCATAAGGTCTAGCAAAAATTTCAATAACATTTGGAATAATCTGTAGATCTATACGGTCCAGCACAGCAAACACAAGGCCCATTTTAGAGTCCTGAAACAAAATCAAAATCTTAATTAAAAAAATTTAGGGTAAAAATAACAACTCAATTAAATAAAATTTACTTTCACCTGAAAATTTGATAAAGGCACTTGACAATTAAACTGAGACTTTAACAATAACAGCCACTTCAGTTTCTGATGTATTCCATTAAGCCGACCAACACAACAATCAGGATCCACAATTTTTTTCTGTTAAAATAAATATAAAAGAGGAAGTTTAATGGTGTTCAGTCAACAAAAAGAAATTTTATAAAAATAAGTAGATAAAAATTTTGATCTAACATTTTTCTCTTGCTTTTCAACATTTCTTCAATTTAACAACAATGCAGATTACACTTAACTAAATGCAAATGTTAAAAGTGGATATTAAAAAAAAATCCAAATTAAAAATCTGTATGTCTTTTCCCCATTACTGAGTATGAGACTGCAGAATTTCTTTCAACTGAAGTCTTATTTATCAGTGAAAGGCTTTGAAACTGATTTTAAGAATGGGATACATTCGTGTGGATAATCATAATCTTTTTCTTATTAAACTGATTTATATTAAATTAACAATATCATTTATTATAGATCTTAACCACAAAATAGAACTGAAGATTATTAGCTTGTTAATTTTTGGTAACCTGAGCTAGTTACTGAGCAATACCTAATTAGCAGAGAGATTAGTAAGGACATAAGCATGATGTAACGGTAAGCTACTTCATATAATAATATAATTATAAATATAATAATAAACTGGTATAATAAATATAATTATAAACTGGCAATTTTTAGTTGTAGCAAACTAGCTGTGACAATTGGTAAAGCTAGAAATGTTTTCTATACTAAATGAATTATTTTTAGTTTTTTTTTTTAGTTTTATAATGCCGAAAAGGGTGTAATATGCTTGTTACTGTAAATAAATGGATTTTCAATGAAAAGTTTATTTCTATACACTGGAGTGCTTTGCTATATTCTTAAACAGAAAGACTTGTTTGATAAAAGAGAATATACGTAACAAAAATTTATATCATTAAAATTACACAAAATAAATATAAACATTGTCTCACATAGGAATGGAAATAATAATAGAGCTGGAAATTTAGGAAGATTCTGAAGCTTAAAACCAATTCATTTCTAGAGGCTTATCTATAAACCACAACTTTAATATTATAATTTTAACTATTTATATTACATGAATAAATGAAAAATAATAAACATTTAATAACCCTTTTTAAATTATTTTTAAAAAGACGCTTTTAGGTGTTGATCTGGGCACTTCATAATAACCATATAAAACTAGCCCTTTCATAAAATTTCATATTAATGAAGTAGCCTCTTATCAAAATTCTGTAAAGAAAAAGCGCTTTTTTTCCCAATTTTAAATCATTTTTATAAAAAAATTATGCAAAAAAGGCTTTTTCATTACATTTAAAATAAATAAAATCAGACAAAAACAAAGCAATGCTTTCACAGAGCATGTTCCGTGTAATCACACACCCTAATCGGTCTAGGCAGCATTTGCACCAGTGTGCAAATGTAATTCTCATTTAGCTGCCTCAGGTTCACTGATTGATAATCGATTAGTGCAAGTGAGTCTTTCAAAACTGTCTTTATTTATAAAAGTGTCAAAGTAACAGACTACTATCGTTTTTGTAAATGAGTGCGATATTTCATATTTTACATGCTTTTTTTTACTGATCCAACATCAATGAGAATTACACTTGCTTTTATTTTTAGCAATAATATCAATTTCAAAATATCTAGTGATTGTAAAAATATGATTTTGATTATTTTTGCATGAAACGTGGTTGACTGACTGCGGAGATACCTTCCAAGATTTTGCTACTACATTGAAAAAATTTTATCCTTTGATCAACTACCACAAGCATGTCAAACTATCACAAGTTTGTTCAATCCTTAAATATCAAAGAAATAAATCTTTCAAATCAGATACTTACATTTCTTAGAACACAGAAAAACAAACATATTTGATATATTAATTCAAACACATTTGATATCTCAAAGATTGTGAGCAAAACATGGTTGATGCGGAAAATATTTGGGAAAACGCATCTGAAAATTTTTCAAAATAAAGAAAAATTCACAAAAATATACTTTTTTGTTTCACAAAATGGAAAACACCATAAAAAAAATCAGGAGTAAACAAAAAGAACAACACGCAAAATGGGAAACACCATAAAAAAAATCAGGAGTAAACAAAAAGAACAACACACAAAATGGGAAACATCATAAAAAAATCAGAAGTAAACAAAAAGAACAGCATCGGTTCAAGACTGCCTCAATCTGACTTGATTCTGTTCTTGTAACTTAAAATAAATTTTCAATGAGTTTAGTAAAAATATTTACTTAAATATAATTATAACTCACATGAACTGCAAGAAGAGATAAACTTGTAGAGAAGCTAATTAGGCCTTTATTTTCCGTCTTAGACAAATCTTGAATGGCATGGAAAAATACAGAAAGTAAATCAATTGCATTTTCTGGCCATAATTCCTAATTAAATAAAAGAACTTTTGAGACAAGGCAATGAGTTAAAAGTTTAACTGCAAATAAAAATGACAAAAGATCATACTGTTTCCGACGTCTCCATGAGAGTAACTCTTTTGATTAACCATTCTGCAATAATGTTCTACAAGAAAAAATTTAAACAAGTTAAGTGGTTTTTAACAATACATTTTAATGATATGCAACAAATTAATAATATATATTTCTGAATATATAAAAAAAAAGTACGTCACTAAAGAGAAATAACATTAAAATAATAAAAATCTATTATCACATCTTTATAGTTAAAAATAAGCACAAAATCAAACTTTAGAAAATTGAAAATATATTTAGGCTTAGTTTGACAAATGTTTTTGCAAGCAAATTAGAAAAAAAATTGGGGTTTGCTTATTTTTAAAATTTTATACATTGATTTGTGTAATTAGACTAACTTTTTATTAATGGAAGAAAATAAAAAAATTTATAGTTATACAAATTTTTAAATAGAAGGAAAAACAAACTTTATCTTCCTACATGATGTGGGAACATTGTATTAATAGTTGCTTCCTGATGTGGATTATTAAAACACAAGGGCACTGTTTTAAAAAAATAACAATTATCCGAATCATTTCTTTTTTTACAGGATAAAAATTATTTTAATTTTTCATTATTTAAAAAAGTTTTAGTTATACAGAAACATTTACATTTTTTTTACTGTGTTTATCATTTAAAAGTTATAAGTCGAGCAAAAGCGAAAATAACTGCATATTACTATATGACTTGAAAGAAGAAAAAAAAGATTTTTTTTGCCAGCCATCAAAATTATTAGCATTAAATATAACATATATTCAGCCGTAACATTGCAAACTACTAAAATCAAATTAATTCTTTTTCAAAAATAATTTAGAATATTTTTTCTCCTAATTTCACTCTTTTCAGTGTTATGCTTACAGAATTTCCAAAATAGTTAATAAAGAGTTTCATTTTATTTGATGACTGAAATTTCCAAAATAGAAAATACATTTCAGAATATTAGAATATAATAAATTTTTGTAAGCAATAACTATATATAGTAAAATACACACAACTGAGTTGGGGCATTTTGAAATGACAGGTGGGAAAAAATCTTCCGATAAAAAAGCAATTAACAGCTTAGAAGGCACTTCTGAAGGTATGGCCTCAACAACTTGTTTAACAACTTCATCACTCAGTACTGTTACAATTTCATCCTATATAAAAATAAGAAAAAGTACTCACATAAAGAAAAAAAACACAATTTAATATAAATATAGCTAAATAAAAAATATTAAACTTAAAAAAAAGTGAAACATAGAAATAATTACCTCATGTCTTCCCCAAACAACAAATGCATTACTTAAATTTCCAATAGTCAACTGTGAAATGACATACTCAAGCAAATCTTTATGCAAGAAATCTTCAAAGTTCATGCTGCAATAAATTAAAGAAATGTCAATATTGATAAGAAAAATATAGACAATTATCGAAATTTTACGGAGATGCGTCACTGCGTTTATGATTTTAAACCAGGTGGTGTATCTAATAGGGTAGACTATTCCACGATTTTTATTTACTCTTTTATCTGAAGTTGAAAATCGTTTTCGTTAAAATGATTCTCCTAAACTTCCTTAACACCCTCCCCTTTTTACCTTTTACAGCAATCTAATTCAATATTGCTCTCAAACAGCTTTTTTGTTTTATTGAGTCTTTTTCAAATGTGGTTATCCTTTCAGACTCGAAGGGGGCGCTTTGCTCGCCCTTTGCTTCGAGATATGCCCTATTGCTCGATTGAATCTATGCATTGCCCTTCCACTTGCGACGTTCCAAAATGTCAGGATGTGATATGTAAACTCCACCAATTTGGTAAAACTCTAGCCCTACAATGGATTCCCGGGCACAGGAAATGAGAGGGCTGATGTTTTGGCAAAGAGAGGCACAAGAATTCTCCAGGCTCTTAGTAGTCCCCTTTTCAACTTTAAAAAGGATTGTTAGATCAAAAATCAATGGGCATTTCCATCACCAATTATCAGAAAGGGTAAAAACCAAAGTGTGGAGAGATCTACAACAGAAAACCATTTCAGACTGGCCGGGCCGCGAAGCGGTGGCTCAGTTTTGACTATATACCGGACAAGACTGCCTAGCCGTGCACCTGTTTCGTTTAGGGCTGGCACCTGATCCCTATTGTTCTCTGTGCAAGAGCACAGCTGTTATGAATGGCAGCCTCATCCTGTGCTGCAGGGTCCTCTGCAGGTCGTTGTCTACCGAGCGATATTGGGATGCAAGAGCGCTCCTGAGGAAATTACTTTTTACTTTCCTGTTTTATTCCTGTGTTTTTGCTTTTTAACATGTCAATTCACCTCTGCCATTTGAAATAAATAAATAAATAAAAATTTAATATTTTAGGATCACTGATACTCTAATGAATTAACAATGCAGGTGAATAATGGATGCTAAGAATGTAAGAGTAAACATCACCCTCCAAAACGAAAGAAACCGCTGTAGTGTTCCTTTCCCACAAACCATCTAAGGAACCATCGTATCTTGTAAAAATCAACAAAAGGATTTCCCTTCCTCTTTTCTTCCTTAGCACTGTAAAGAAAAAATATACCAAGTCCTACTCATTAAAGGATTAGTAGGGTTGGAATGTTTCAAATTTTCAGTTTAAAATCAACTTTATCACTTTCGCTCTTGGAAATATACAATATCAGAATTTAAAGATGGGAAAGGAAAACTCCTTTTGTATTTTTGCAAGTTTGCTTTTGTCCTGTTTTTTTGTTTTCATTGATGATTTAAAGAAAGATTTTTTTTTATCTTTTTATTATATATTTAAAGATTTCATAATACTATTTCTTAGCTGCTTAATCATTTGATTAATTAAAATAGGGATATTCCAAATTATCTGTAAAAAATACGTTTGAGATAATTTTATGGTACAATTTTGCACAAAACAACATTTATTTATTTTTAAATTCATCTTAAAGGTTTTTAAATGATTTAATCATTTGGTTTATTAATATTTAGGTATTAATTTATACAAGTTGTGTGTTCGCAATTGTTCCATTTGAGAAAATTTTGAGCAGAGTTTTTATTTATTTATTATTATATATTTTAATAACCTATTACAATTATTTTTAACAGTTTTATCATTTGATTAATTCGCTGTATAACTAATCATGCCATAATTGGGATATTTAAAATTTATTGACTTGATGCAATTCTGATTGTTTTGTTTGAATTGTGCAAAATTGTACATGGTACTATTTAATGCTATTTTGAAAAGTTACTATAAAAACTACTGAAATCCATTATTATGAATTATAATGAAGATTGTTTAATTATTTATTTTATTTAAAAATAACTATTTGAACAGATGTATTCATATTCTAAAATTTTAAGCGGCGTATCTGATGGTGCAGCCTTTCTGATGAAATACTTATCAATTTCAGTCAAATTTAGCAAGTGCATCATATTTTTCAGGACGGCATATCTAATTTAAATTACAATATCAAAAAAAATATAAGTTTTAACTTTGACATTTGCAAATATTAAAAAATTTTGAAAATATTAAGAAAATGTTTTATATGTTATAATGTGGCGTAACTACCACTATAAACATTGAACACCAATTCACTAGTATATAAGGCATGTTAACTTGATTCTATCTTGAGATACCTTTTGATAGATGAAGGTTGACTTGGTCGATTTATAATTCCCCTCAATAACAATTTAAATTATATTGAAATCTGTTTCTTCAAAATGCTTTCTCAAGCCGACAATAAAACAGTGTGTTCACTTTTCAAATCCCCGAAGAAATTTTGAAATCTAATACAAATACATAATCTAATACAAGCACAAACAAAAAGAAAATCATAGTTTTGAAGGGGAAAAATTACAGCACTGAATACAAAAATAAAAAATTTTTAACTTCATTACTTTCATTTCTTTTTTGTCTCTACAAATTGAAACAAATAAACAATTTATTGCATGCATTTTTATAACTATTTTACATATAATTATTTTTAATATTTATTTTTAATTCAAATGTTAGTTCAGGGCAAATAAATCAAAGCATATAATTTTAGTGAATTAGAAGGAAACTAAGTGACACCCCAGGTTAGTATTGTGTAACTATGGGTTTCTTCCAATGATAATTAGTTTTAAAAATTTTCTTTTGATCACCTAATAATGTAAATAAATTTGATAATAATGTAAATAAAAATTGCTGACTAAAATTAGGGAAATTTAAATTTTTTCCATTGTGTAGATGTTTTAAGAAAATCAGAAGATGAAAACTAATCTCCAATAAAATAGAATGGTATGAATGAAATTCTCGTTTCTGACACAAGAAGTAGGTAAGCTGGATTATGCAAATGGTATGTTGCAAAAAAAGTTTTGTTATATTTATCCAATAGAGAGCATTTTATCAACATCACAATTTCTTCCCTCAATCATTACATGACTAATTTAACTACCTGCGTAAAAATCAATTATCGATTTTCATTATACTTCTAAACAAAATTGAAAAATTTAACTAATAATTCAGACAAAATTGTACAGTATGTTTCTAAAAATAAGCTGAGACTATTTGGAAAATCTCAAAAAACATAAGTAGGGGACGGTTCAGTTAACTTTCGTTAACTTCTCAAAATTCCATCAGAAGTTGAAAACAAAAACACTTTTCCATTTAGTTGAGAATCAAAGATCACTACATATCGCAAAATGACGCTTGACAAACCTATATATACGCAGCTGAAAATAAGGCATCAGTTGAAGATAAAATGGCAAAAAATAGCAATTGAAAAGGCATAAAAGCTGGAATAGGAAATGAATATTTCTTTTGAAGAAGAATTTACAGCTCATTTTTCATCATAAGACAGCAGACAAACAGAAAAGGTCAAACATGCTAGCTTTAGAATTCAGAAAGCTCCTGCGATTAGGGACTGATTAACATTGGCTTTTTGTAAAATTCAATTGTTGATGAATTCAATACAAACTGCTAAGTTTATATGCTTGGAAAGAGAGGGGAAAATAAAAGTGAAAGAAAAAAATAAGGACTTTAAATGGGATTTTATTCCAGAGAACAAAGGTAACCCAGAGACTGATTTATCATAAGGCCTGAGAGATTCAGGCCTAGGGTTCCCTCATTTCTAAAGACACTAAATGTTACAAATATTTTTTTTTTTGAAGAATTGTTTATAATAATCATAAGCTAATATAGATTGAAAGAGATATAAGCTCAAATTTACTAATAAATCTTAATTTACTAATTAATGCTAAAAAAATTTAATAACACTTCATCTTTTAACAGCAGGTAAATTTTGTTTTAAGTAACAACCAGGTGGCCCTGACAGTTTTGCACCTAGGGCCTCTGCATTTCTAGATCAGGCCCTGAAGGTAACAAGGCTACATTATCCAAAAGGGAAGTTAAAAGTTACCGACAAAGATAATGCTTATTGTTATTTATTTTTTTTACATCAGCCTACATATGAGTTTTGAATTTTTAGTATATGTTTAAAGAAAAAACATAATTTGACTTCATACACCGATGAGTTTATATTCAGAAATACATGGTATCAATATTTTGATTTTTCTGCAACATTCTAAAAACATTATCAAGAGAAAAAAAAAACAACTTAGGAAGTTACCTTATATTTGATGAAGACAAAAGTTTATTGGTGACAAGTTTATTCAAATGCTGATTGACCTTAAAGACAAAAAGAAAATACAATTAACAAGCAGGAAACGAAAATGGGCACAAATATAAAATACAAATTCTGGATCTTCTTAAAAATAAAAATGAAAATGAAAATTAAATTTACCTGAGTATTGAAAGAAGAAATTCCATTCAAATTTTTATTATTCTCAATCTAAAAAAAATAAATTTAAAAATAAAAATACATTTTTACTGAAAGGTACTAAAGATAAATATTTTTACACGAATAGGGAGAATTCCTACTATTGACTTATATTTTTACTCGTATACTAATAAGGTACATATTGCCATACCAATATGGTACAATGTTCAAAAGTACATAGGCAGAAGTGTGTGATTTGCAGCATTGAAATTTATCAAAACCTCAATAGAAGTTGCCCCGTATATTCTTCCCTGCTCCACCTGCGGCAACAAAACTTAAGGGGGTGCATCCGTTTCAGGTCATTTGGTCCATAGGTTGACATATCCTCTGTCTCAATGAACATTTGGTAAGCTTTTGTACAAGTTTTTTCCTTGTAATTTTTTTTCAGGCTTCCTGTAAATTTTAAATATCTAAACACTTGTCATCAAATAAAAAAATAAAAATTTTAATTTTTTAATATGCAATTAAGCATGTTAAAATGCACTCTTTCTTATTTGTATCAGAATTCCATATTTATTTTTGTTTGCATAATTGGTAAATTCTGAACAAGATCTTAACTTTCCTTCCAAACTCACCTGTTCAAGAGTATTATTTAAATTTATTTTGTATATTATGTAACCTAAAGGGACAAATACAAACAGAATATTGGCAAAGGTTTTCACACTTTATTAAGTTGCCATTAGTAAAAATAATTATTTAAGATTATAACAAAAACATTAAAAAAAATACATCAAAACTTTCATCGCTCTGTCTCAATGTTCATTGAGACAGAGGATTTACATTGAACAATATTACAAAAAACAAAAAAAAGTTAAGTTAAAACAGGAACTAACATCAACAAATTAAAAAGAAATTTAATCATAATAATTATTTCATAATTTCGATATTATTTAATGACTTATTATTTTATTATTGATTAAAATTTTAAAAATAAACACATAAAAGGCTTTGTAAGTTAATACCCTTTTTAAAACATAAATAAATAAAATTCTCCTTACCCAATCTTTTACACAAAAGAGCAATCTTTCAATAGATTCTAATGAATGTAAAGAAGTTGTAGCAATCACTTTAATGTATTCTACATCCTAAAAAATGGAAAAAATTATGTTACTAAGCATCACTACAGTCAAATTGGAATTTACTAAATTCATCAAAATGAGAAACCTAAAAATATTTTTTAAACCTAAAGATTTTTTTTTAAAAAAAATAACATTTGATTACAAACAAATTTTAACCATTTGCATTCAACTTTTTATACATATAAGCACGCCAATACACATTAGTTTGTGAAACAAAGCAAATTTTGTTAGATATATTTCTTACATAAAAAAGATAAATAAATATTGTAAATATAAATATTGGTATATTAGTAGGAATAAAATAAACTACTAAATAGATAAAAAAATTAAAATAAAATAAATTATTTTTTAGTTAATGGAAAGGTTTAAAGTTTAATAACAAGTGCATAACAATGATAAGCTACATTTTTAAATTGTCCACAAGAATGCTTTTGAACAAATCCCCACAATTTCTATGAAAGTAATAAAATCATTCTGTGCATTAGGCTGTTATCTAGTCGAAGTTTTAGAAACTAGTAATACACCTAAATTTAGAACTACTAAGGAAATGTTTGATGTAAAAAATAACCCTTTTAAAAATAATGTGGCATATCACAGTATTTTTTCACATATACTACAATACAGTTGATTTCTACCTACAAATAAATAATAAAGCATGAAAATCAATCCTAAGAACTAAAAATACAGTCTTGTTGTTTCCTCTGAATTAAAATAACCTAATAAAAAAAATAACAGTTTTCATTTTTTCAATTATTCCATATTAGCTTAATATTTACCAAATTTCTATGAAAAAAATAAGAAAAATAAAAGTTTCGTGACAAATAAATAAATTCTTAATGAAAACTACATAGGAATTAAAAATACATAACAAGAATTAGGGTACACACTTCAATTTTTCCTAGAGAGCATTTTAGCTCACTCCACAAGCTGTCCACTTTAATTTCAGATGCTGAAGATTGAATATCTTTATTTAAGTCATTCAGAAGATGATTAACTTTAGCTTTATGGATGACCTAAAATAAAACATTTTTTATTATTATACCAAAATTTTATAATCAAATCTTAAATTTTAATTGCTTTAATATTTTTAAAATTGTATCTGTAACAAATTTTAAGATTAAGAATAATTTTCTTACTCTTGATTTTTTTCTTAATTCCTACAAAAAATTCAGCTTGAGAATATCATCAAACTGTACTTCATTGCAGGTTAAGAAAAGACCATTGTGGTATTTGATTTAAGTAATAATTCGCAACTGCATATAGTTCCATTTTATTAAGTTTTCAACTTTATAAATATGCTTTCTAAAACCATTTAAAAGTTTTTAAAAGTTAAACACATCAGACAGAAATTTAATTCATGTTATCTTTTACGATATATATCACAATTATTAAAAAAAAAGGTTATAGTTTCGAAGCTTTATTGGAATCCTCAACTTGGTGACATCTTTCAAAAAAATAAGAAGCCCATTCGTTCTTGAAAAAGAAATAACTATATAACATTTAAAGATCATTGGATTTAATTAAAGCATTAAAAAATAGAGCACCGTATGTTGACATACTCTTAACAAATCAAAGGCGAGATAAAGAATGTTTACTTTTTTTTCACTGTGGAAGAAAATTGTCAGCAAGAAACAATATTTATTATTCTTTCATCAATTTCTTAAAATGAGAACAGAAAGACGTACGTTTGCTACGATTTTTAGATATCATTTTCATTCATTCTTATTACTTGTTAATTGATTATTGTTGTTAATAACTGTTATTATTAATAAGAAAGCAAGAAAAAAGGAGGCTGTGCAGCATCGTTTCAAGAGTTAGAGATATTGATATTCATTTGAGCTGAAAACCTCATACCCATTTGGCGTGCTAAGCAAACAGGCTCTCTTTGTAGGGATAATGGTTTTTTCTTAACTTGCAACAGAGTATAGTACCTCAGCTTGAAATATTTACAATTTTTTTTAAATTTTAAATTAATAAATTTGATGAAAATAATATTAATAAAATATTTAAATTCATATGTTTTTCTACAGAAAATTTTATGACACTAATTTTAGTTTTATGGTACATCTATAAAAAATTGCACTAAAATTTTATAATCACAGTTTATAAGTTAATTTGTATAGTAATTTACAGAGCACAAGCTGTGATCAACATGTATTTAAAAGTTAAATAATCATAACCACCAGTGCAGCCAAAAAGAAATTTTATTTTACCCTTGAGCTGTATGTGAAAATTCAGAAATTGCTGTGGATTTATTCAAAAATTAATGTTTACAAAATATGTTCTGAAGTATATTATTATAAAAATATTCTGAAGTAGTAACCAGCATCAAATTGTTTGCTTAGAAAGTGGTATTCTTTTTCTTTTTTTTATCTCTAAAAATTTTATTAAAATATGGTTTGAGGAAATTTTAATTTTGACTATGAATATTTCGTCATCTATGAATATTTAGTTAATACCAACTTGAAACTTAAAAATAATGAAATCAGAGTAACATATTTTTTTCTCTATTTTCTTTGTCAATATTCTCTTTATCAATATTTCATAGCCACTAAATCAGAAAATAAACTTGATCTATTTTCATTTCATAGTTCAACCCAATGTCAGCAGCCATTCTCATTTAAATTTCAGTTTTAATTATTTATCAATGCTGTTTATATTGTCTTCTACTGAGGATAATTCTCCAAGAATAAATAGATTTCTCTCTTTTATAACAAAAAATAAATAGTAAATTGCAATATACTAAATGGCAGATTTTTAAAGAGTTCTTTCTATTTAGAAATTTTTTTAAAAATACTAATCACTTGTAATTACTAACTTATGCTTATTTATTTGTCTTGTTTATTTACTTCAACTTGGAACACCAAAGAATTCAATCTGAAATGGTATATATAATTTATATAAATTGAGAACTTTATAAATATGCAAGATAAATCGATAAAATATGTTTAACAATTTCAAATTTCACATAACATGACACATAATGATAAAATACAAAGCATATAAGAAGTGTTTTTACTTCACTATTCAGATTGGATGATTTCGCAAGTTCTTCAGCTTCAGAAAATTGTTTTTTGTTTACTAAATTATGAAGTCTAGAAAGAAAAAATAAACATTTTACTTATAGTAACCTCAACGATAAAAAAAAAAAAAAATTTAAAAAAACTCAATGACTAATTACTTAACTTACTACCAAACTTAGATTATTACACATATATTTTTATACTTTATACATTTATACCAGACAAATTATACTCTTGATAAAATAACAATATATTTTTTAGTATTATATATTACTTGAAAGAAGTATAGAAGTTTAAGAGTTTTGGTAAAATATAATAAGTTCATACATATTGTTTGCAATCTTGGCAGATATTGAAAGTTAAGTCCTGGCTATAGTAACATTATACAAAATTAAATTTAAGTGATACTAAGGAATAGATACATACTTTCAACAGTTTTATATTAAATATTTAATTTCCAAGGCAAAAGTGCAGAGAAATTAAATGAGAAGAACTTATATAAACCATAGCAAACATCACTCAATAATAACAAAATATAATAAGGTAATGAACTATGTAAAGTAAACATACCATTATCACACCAATAATTTCTAAGCAGTAAGAACAACAGTGATAAAAGTGAAGTCTAGGCATAGTAAAATTGTCATTTGCTACCCATGGAAACTGCTTACAGCTCCACCTGGCAGCACTCAGAGTTAGCAGTCTTATCACCAAAGTTATACAAGACACCGCAAGAAAAAAATTTTAAAGTTGTACAGCCTCAATTTAATACAAAAAAAGAAACTTCTTATGCCCAAAAATGATATAAATGAAACGCACAAAATGTACAATAGTTGGATCATAACTACAATAAACAAAACTGCACTTGATGGAAATAAGCTTCATCTGGCTCGCTCAAAATGGTGTCCTTTAACAACAATACACATATGGACAAAAAGACTGCTCATCCTGCTGCACATGGTATAACATGGCAGGTGACATGCTGGCACAAGCATTCTTAATACAGTTTCGTAATACGAAGCTCCTGCAGTGTTGATGGAGTAATTACACACACTTGCTGTTTGATGTAACCCCACAGAAAAAAGTCCAATGGATTCAGGTCAGGTGAATGTGGAGGCCATTTTATGCAACCATCGTAACCCGATGACTTGTTGCTGGAATGCATCCCAAATGTACTGTTGGGCACTTGATACCCTATGCAGAGGGAAGCCATTGTGTTGGAAACATACATTCCAGGGATCACTCAACAGAAAATCCTCTAGAAAATAGACATAAAATTCTTTAGAAATTCTAAGTATCAGGATCCCCTTCAAGTGTTCTCGTAAAATACAGGGACAATCAATCTGGTTTTGAAAATTCAACACCATTCATTTATCGAGCAGCTTATTTCATGTCGGACTTCTATAGCACATCTAGGACTATGGTACATCCAGAACTGGTTGCTCTGCTTATTGTACATAATATTACACAAAAAGCCAGGCCCTATCCATCCATAAAATGTCAGCAAGAAACATTAGCAGTACTTCTAAGTGGTTCATGATAAAGTTGCACCAATCATAGCATCTTTAAACATATCCTATCATTAGTGCCTAAGCAGATGTAGACCAATAGGGATTAACACCTAGTTCATTCAACTAAGTCCAAATGTGGCTTTTCAGAGACCACAGTACTCACTGATCTGTCTTGTGCTGCTATAAGGATATGCGAAGATAAATGTTAATTAGTCTTCTAATTGCACATGATGTCCTATTCGTTTTGGTCTGCAGAGTTGAAGGAGGTCTACTAGCAGCACTGCCCAATTCTCTGAATAAATTCACTATCTTTACAATAACCAGCCATGAAGGATGTGGCATTTTGCTACCCTCCAGGAAAACGTACAAGATAAAGTTGCTTTGCCGCTTTCAACTGACGCCCACATTTACCGTGACCCTAGCCCATTATACATAACGATACTTTTACTTTCGCTACTTGCAACTTTTAACACAGTGGAAATTTTAAAAAATATCTATGACAGTTAAATACTAAAAATATTAAGAAAAGGGAAAGAAAGAAAGAGAAGGGGGAGGGTCAAGACATGGAACTAGTCTTCTCCCCAGATGGCGCATTTAAGCGTTGCAATTGTGAATTTCAATGAATTTTGTAACATTTTCCTGCATTTTAAATTTTATACATTTAAAATAAAATTTATTGCATTTTAAATTAAGAAAAAATATTTTTCCTTACATTTTTTTTATGTAATTTAAGGTTACTTTGAATTTTTAATTTCCACAAAATGTACTTTAAAATCTTTACTTTTTTGTACTTGTACATCCAGATCATTACTCATTACTTTCTCAAGTCAAAACTTTGTACTCATTACTCTTGCTTAAAGTACTTACACTTTTACCCGTTACTTTTTAAAAGTAATGTTCCCTGGTATGTCCCCCAATACTTATTTGTAGAAAATATCAACATGATTACAAGTTTCAAAATAGAATTCCTGTAGAACTCTTTCTCTTATACTTATATTAGCTGCAGAGGTATGAAATATCATATTTATTTGCATGCAACCAAAATGCATGCTATTTCCTTATTAAATGAGTGTTACTAAATGATATTGCACAATCTGCATCCAAGTTGCAAAGAGAGCATATACCAGCTGATACTTGAATTTGAGCCCTCTCAAATTGTAATCAAGCACACTACCACTGATAAGGGATGCTCTAAATTGGGACATTTTCTTCTGCACTATGTCGCTTGACAATTTTAGGAAGTTTTAAACCAAACAAATATGCATTTTGCATATTCTATTTTCACTGTTGCTATCAGGAAGGAGTTTCCTTGCACTAAATCAATGATCTTGAACAACTTTGAAATTCTCTTTTTCTCTATACCTCATAGAGTTTTTGAGATATGAACTTTAACTCTGAATTTTGCCACTGGTTGGCACTGTAGGCAGTTTCTAGCGTATAGCTTGGCAACTTTAATATACTCCACTTCAAAGATTATACTTCTTGCTGTTCAGAAATCATTGGGGTGACAACAATTTTTTTAGGCACACTGTATAAAAAGTATAAGTAAACATTTGTCACACAAAATAAGCATAATTTTTAAATATTAATTGCATCATTTTTATAAATTTCTTAGTTCAAAATACCATAAACTATAATTATCGAAAGCAAATAATGTACAACATTTAAAATTTTAACTTAGTCTACTTTTTGATTGACAAACCGTGAGCTATTTTTTGTTTTAGAGCAATCATATTTCAAAAAAAGTAACTTTTCATTTTAAAGTAAGAAATTAACTATAATTGAAACTACTCAAAATAAGTTTCAGCCATTATAAAAGGAGTTGTCACAGCAGTTTCTTCCTGCTTTTCAAATTACACAACGTAATTAGTTAATATGTCTTTTACTTGAAGATAGCTATAATTCACAAGCATGAGTTGCAACTAATATAAAGTTGCAATTAATACAAAATAAGTTGCAACTATTATAAAGGGAGTTGTCACAACAAAAGTTTCTTCCTGTTTTTCAAATTACACAACGTAATTAGTTAATATGTCTTTTACTTGAGGATAGCTATAATTCACAAGCATGAATTATAGTACTACTATTTCATCACTATCAGAAACAACAGATTCAAGAAATGTTTTACTTATTTAAATGTTTCACTAAGTTAAGTTGTTTATAGTGGGAATTGTCATTATCACAGTTTAACCAATCCAGGGCTTCAGAAATATTTTATCTGAACAATTATCAATAAAACAAAACCTGACTCATCAAAATAATTTTTTTTCATCCAAATGCTTCCTTTCTTAATTGCTCGGCCATGTCTCCAGTCCTTTTTAAAACATTTATTCTAACTCAGTCCTGACCTTAGCTTAGTTGAAAATAGTTTTTCAACTGTGTAAGACTTCCGGAATTTTAAAAAAAATTTTATTATAATAACAGTTCTAGAAGAAAAGCTTTTCAATGTCACCTTTCAACATAATAAATTGCAACTTGATTCATGGGTTATAATAATTCAGAACACTTTTAACATGCATTGAAAGGAGTTATATAATCGTTCATTAATTTATAGAGTTCTTTAGAAGAGATAAATTGAACGACCATAAAAAAAAGTCTTGCATACAATCAGGTGTTACTTGCAATAAGAAAATAATTTTTATAATTTATTTTGTAACCATACTTTAATAAAATAGCACACTGATAAATTTCAATTTGGAACTAAGCTATTATACATGAACCTAGTAAAATATGATGTAACTTCCTATTTTCACTGAAATGGGAATTTCAGTGAAAAATTTTACATTCCTATTTTTAGCATTATTGCATCCTTTTTTCAACAAAATAAGATCATTTAAAAAAATAAATAGAAAAAAAATGGTGAGGGAAAAAAATGCAGATCACCTAGTACCAAATAAACCACCTGTGGTACATTTTGATTTGTTGTCACGTGGTTTATAAGTTTAAATCGAAAGTTTTCTCTAGCGATAAATTATGATAGTTGAAAGTTGATGAAGGACAAATTTTAGGTTCTTTATATGGTAGGTATTGAGATAAAATAAGGTTAAAATTAGATTTAATCTTATTTTATCTCAATACCTAGAAAATAATTCTAGGTATTGAGAAAAATAATTATTTAAACCCTATTTAAAAAAAAAATTTAAAAATAGTTTGTCACATGCAAAAAGATGCTACAGTATGCACTAAAATTTCAAACAATTCATGTTCAGCACTTTGCAATTTAAGTAGTTTACTGAGAAATAAATTTTGTGAAAACTTCTCTGAAATTCAGTTTAAGAGTTTTTTAATTGCTCTGATTACGGTTATCGTGATTTTTCAAAAAAAAATGAGAGAGAGAGAGCAATGTTTGTAAATAACACTGGTCTTTTGTAATTTTTGCAATATTTGCTTTAAACAGAAGTTTAATGTTCATTTTAATGAAAGTATTTGAGAAACACTAGGTAATAACTAGGTGATACAAATGTTATTGTAATATTACATTAAAAAGTTAAATACCTTGATTCAGGTGAAGCTTCAAAAATAGCTTTAATCGATGGTTGATTGACATATTTTTGGCTGAAATTGAGAGAAATTTATTACAAAATTAGAAGGAAAATGATTCAATTACATTACACAGATTCATACAATTATTGTAAAAATACTACTTTGAAAAACAGAAATATTACAAATAAACATGCTTGGAATAACTTTTTGTGTAAGTTAAATATAAAATTCAATGTAAATTTTTCCTGTACATTATCTTACTTTTTCATGTTTTTATTAAAAATGCATATGAGCAAAGGGCATTCATGCTAAATATTTTTTTTTTCACTTAAGTTAAAAACAATCTACAACAATAAAGGTCCGATAAATAACATTTGAAGTCATCAATATATCAATATATTTTAAAATATATTTTATTGAAAAGGAAGACAATCCAAATGAAGTTAAAGTATCACCCCGTCTCTAATTAACACACATTTTTAAATAGAAAAAAATTTAAAAAAATAAAATACATACTTCTGAAAAAATTCAAAATTATAAATTAAGAATAATTCTATTTGTTGTTATTTATTTCTATATTTCTATACACTAGCAAAATAAAAGGCAATATTTGCCTTTAAAATTCACTTCGGTTTAAACAAAAATTTCCCTAATTAGTGGTTAATTTATACATTTTTTTGTGTAAAATATATTACCATATATCCCGATGTATAGGTCAGCTTTTCAAACCCCCAAAAACTGCACACAAATCAAAAGGTCCAGTTATACGCTGGTAATTAATTTGGACATTCATTCAGCGTGAAATATCAATGCATTAAAAAAATTAGATAGATATGAATAACTCTGTATTAATTTGCCCCTTTCAAAAAGTATTTTTAATAAGCTATGTACAACTAATATTGCCTTTTCTCACATCATTTTCTTTACATATACACATATATGACATATACACATATATTTAAATTACAAAATTGCTTCTAAAAAATATTTGCAATTTTCTTTAATATTATTTAAAATTACTTCTAAAAAATTACTTTAAATACATTCAGAAAATAAATTAAGAGAGAAAAAAAATTAAGACAAATATTCATGAGTTTTTCAAAAATATAACACAACTACAACTGTTAAAACATAACATAAATATAAATAATTAAAACATAACATAATTTTAAAGATTCCAGACACTGCCTGTGACTGATTCAATAATGTTAACAGAGTGTAATACGAATTCCAATATGCAATGGATTCTACTTAATCTTTGTGTGTGTCAAGTCCTACAATAAATTGTCTTCACCCTTATAAAAAGAATTTAAAATACCACATGTTTTAAAAGAATTTACAAAAACATTTGAATCAACATTTTGCTACTTATCTAATATGATTTGAGGGCAATATTAATAAAGAACAATGTTAATTGTTTTAAACTTTAGAAAATTTTGTTTTCTTAACTTTTTTTTTTCGTTTTTTAATTTTAGAATTTTTTACATTTAGTTTTCTTAGTAATTAAATTATACACCAGACATATCAAAAATTTGCTATCTCGTAAACAAAAATAGGGCCTAGACTTATGCACCAAGATATACAGTAAATCTTTCAATTTTTTATGAAAATATATCATGTTCTTAAATTATTTATGTAAGAAAATTATTTAAATAAGAAAAGTATTTATATTTCAAAAAGGAACATGTCACTTTTATTTATTTAATTTTTATTATTATTTCTGAGTAACTAAAGAACTCCAGGATTAAGATTCGATTTTCTGCAAAAAAAAAAAAAAATAACTCCAAATTTAATGAGAGTTATAAAAGCTTTTTTTTTTTTTTTTTTTTTTTTTTTTTTTTTTTTTTTNAATCAATTACATTTTAGGTATAAATGTATTAAACTTGAGAACTACATTTTTTACAAAGTAAACTTTCATCTAAATTAATAGGAAAAGAAAAACTGATCCTTTTCAGTGCTAGAGTGATTTTCTGGCTATAAATATTAACACCATCACAACCACTTTTTTAATAAGTTTCTCCTAATAGATTTGTCTAAAATTTAGTACATCAAACACTTTTCTTTGTAATATTTTTAATCTATATCCATAAGGACAATTTATATCCATAAAGACAAGACAAAAAAATTCTATTTCACAGAAAGCACTTTCATTCATAAGTGAGATTAGCTAGCTGACAAGTGGCACTTTGTTTCATTGTAAAGTTTCAAATAACAATTACAATTTTGAAAAAAAATTATTTTGTGCCCAAATAAGGAAATTAATGTAAAAAAAAAAAAAAAAAAAGAATTGCTACATAGTAGTGGAAAAATTATTATATGCATAATTTTCAATGATCTTTTAAAATGTCATAAACAGGACTAATATGGCAATACAATAAACTTTTTTTTTTGCCACCAATACTGGACGATATTTTCACTACCCAAATCAAGTTCATATGAATTAACAATATATATTTGATCATTTTCGCTACCAAAATATGTGATATTCTCATATTTTATATTTTTTGTTGTCACTAAAGATCAGACTTTCTGGAATTCAAAATCTTTATTATTGATAATACCTGCAACATTATCATATTTAGTTACTACAGTTCATTTATTTACATTTTAGCAATTAATATTTATTATTCATACAAACTGCATAAGTATTAATGTCTGTCAATGATAATTATATATTCTATATACTTTAAGATATGTTATTACATCCAAATAAAAATAAAAAGTATAAAAGAAAAATGGATCTAGATTTTACTACTTACTCAGTTTCATCTGAAGACACAGTAGCATCAAAAATGTACCAACAGTCCTGAAATATTTCGTTAAAGTCCATAAACAAAAATTTTTATGAAATCTAAATAGTACAATATAAAAATGAAAAGATATCGTACTTGATTTGGCATATTATCTACTAATTGCACATAATTAGAAAGTTCTACACTATAAATTGTTTCAAATGATGGATAATTCCTGATTTCAAACTTATAATTATGTGTTATTCGTGATGCAACTAGTAAGCCAACCTTACAACCATGTACAAAACTAAAATAAAATAAAAACACATTAGGGCATAACAGAGGATTACATAAGAAGAAAATTTGTGCAAAAATAGGAATTAATAATAAAATACAATAAAGAAGTTAACAGGTTTTCAAATTAGAATCTAGTCTCAAATAATGTAACCTACCTCACAAATAATATGAGACAGGGCACCAAAACTCATGTTTTAAAAAAGTAAAAAAAGTCCAATTGGTTGGCTATGTTGTCTTAGATTTACAACACAATGTAATAATAATTACAATCAAACATTTTTTAAAGCAGAGCTCATGATAGGGTAGGGGGTTGTGCATCTACTTTTTAAGGAGCGCCCAAAGGGTAGCAGCCTGACTTGGCTCCCATGCCTACTGACTTTAGCAGGGCAAATTGGTCTGACCTTCACACCTAGGGTGGACCTGCCAGGAGAAAATCTTCCGATGTACTTCGCCCAGTGTCACCCTCTAGCCTCGTTGAGGCAGTCAGTAGGACGTGAGGGGGTCGCTGACGACTTGGCAAAGCAGGGCTCGGTTGAGTCATTGTATTCAGTTGCCTCATTGACTTTTGACGAGCTTTACTCCAGCAGGAAAACAATGACTTAAAGTCTTGGAGGGTCCCTCCATCCCATGATTGGTATTGGTGGAGATGTTAAATCACTCAAAAATCATTTCACGAAAAGGGAAGGGAAAAAAAATTTGTTTTTAAGTTAAAATTTTTTTAATTCACCTATCAGAACTTTGATGAGTTATATTTATAATAATACTTAATTCAAATAAAGTATAATAATTAAAATATTTAATATTTTATATTTTCAACCAAAATGGTTAAAATTATGATTTAATTACTAACCACAGAATGAATAGTCCTAATTTTTATTCAGGCTAAACATCCTTACAAATTGTACTTATTGTAATATAAGTAGTTATTGTATATAATTTCATTACTTATATACAATGAGTACATATTTAATATTTAAATAAACTTAATTGTTATAACCAAAACATATTCAAACAGAAAATTATTTCACATGCATCTAATGAAAAATTGTAATTTTAAAGTTTAATGCCACTTTAACCACACCTTTTCTTTTTTCTTTTTTAAAAATTTTTTTTTTTTTTTTTTTTTTTTCATTATTTCACCAGATAAAACTTTCACCCTCAATGAAATCAAACTTAAATAATAATAATAACAATCACAACCTTAAAAACATTTATAAACTATATTGGATAAAACATTTTCTTAAACTAACATTTAAGCTTTAAAAAAATAATAATAATTGAAATAATAATAATGAAATAATAATTGATTTGAATCAAGTGATTAAAATTATGCCAACCTTGCAGTCATATACTGAATATATAATATATGAAAATAAGAGGTAATCTCACTAAATGAAATCCCTTAATATATTTAAAATTAAGTATTAAAGCTTGAATATTAAACAAAAACAAAATGAAATAAGCATATTTGAAATTAGACAAACTATTTTGTTTAAACATTAATTTGAAAACCAATCTGATAAGACCAAGAGTCAAACATTCACATTTCTGTAACAAAATAATTTTCTCACGTGTACCTGTTTTGATTGAATGACTCATGCAATGTAAAATCTTCTATTGCTTTGTCTTCAGTTTCAATTCTCCATGTTGACAATATAAGTTCAGTATACGCACAAATAACTGTTAAACTACACTAAAAATAAAATAATTTTATTAACATATTTCTCAATCAAAATAATAAGATAAATCATTAATTTTGTAAAGTTTTACAGCTAATGTTCAACTATCCGGAATGCACAGGAATCAGCAAATTCTAAATATGCAAAAAGTATTGATTCTAGTATCAATACTTTTTGCATATCTAGTATCCAAAGATCTTAATTTTTAATGCAACCTTATTTTTATGAAAAGTTTCTATGCCTTAGTAAAAAGGAAAAATTAAAATTTAACAATATGTACAAATTAGAAAGTAATTACATAAAAGGAGGGGGAAAAAAAGAATAGTTGTCCCAAGTAATTATTATAGATCAGTGAATTTAAAAAAAAAATCAAATTGCTAAGTGTGAAAAAAATTCGAGAGAAGATATATTGAAAATATAATTTTTAATGTTTCAAACTTCAGCTTTTCATATTGTTGTTGTTGTTAATTTACGTCGCACTAGAGCTGCACAATGGACTATTGGCAACGGTCTGGGAAACATCCCGGAGGATGATCCGAAGACATGCCATCACAATTTTGACCCTCTGCGGAGGGGATGGCACCCCTGCTTTGATAGCCCAATGACCTGAGCGGGCTTGACTTCGGTGATCTGCTGAGAACCGTGTCTTAACGATCAGTCCACTGCGGGACCAGCTTTTCATATTATCATATTTACTGAAAAAATATCACCTCCCAATAAGAATGATAAAAGAAGTTTTATTTAGGGCTGTTGATTTTTAGTTATATAAAAAAGATTGTACGGTCCTGTATTAGCTCAATAGTTAAAATTGAAGGTAATGTTTACTGTATAATAATTAACAAATATTTATTTAACAAATGTAATTAATTAGTTCACGCATGAACTTGCATTAGAGAACGACCATACGCTCTTAACAATTCAATCAACAAGAACAAGAGTGAGTAGTTCAAAAGGTTACATTATGATGAACGATGGCTGGCGCAATACAATCTCGCCAAACGGTAATTCAACACCAAACAAAGATAATGGGAGAAAAACGAAGTTATCCATAAAAGAAAATAAAAGATTGACTCAAAGCTATAAAAAATAACAAATTTTAAAAAAAAGGTAAAAAGAAAATAATATATTTTAATTCCTAAAATCTTACTTTTGTCATCTCATCCAAAACTTTTAAACACAATTTACTCTAAAATTATTTCGCTTATTTGCTGTACAATTTTCTAGCTAGTACAAATTTTCAAGCTAGTACAAATTTTCAAACTAGTACAATTTTCAACCGATATACTGTTAATTTTGACACAACATTCATAATAAATATAGTTTATGTTCCACAGAGGGTTTTTTTTTCAATTGGGTTGGCTGGTTTTGAATAATCCCAAACTTTTGTTCATAAAATCACCATTTTGTAAAAAAAAAATTATTCTTTAAAAATGGTATGTGCAATGAAAACTACATTTACGAAGTACAAAAATATCATAACCGAATAAAATTTGGCTGTATTTTTTTGTTTTTTTTTACACTCATGAGTATAGCAAGCTACGTATAATTTAAAAAATAAGTAATAAACATTACATATAAGCACTATTTTTCAAATTTTTGCAATTTTAACATAAAATGAAGATTAAAATATGTACAATAAGGTAAAAAAAAATTATCAAGTTAAGGTAACTCCAATCAAAGCAAATTCATTAAAAAACTCTTTGTTACAAGCTTATACAGTTTTATTCCGCCATAAAAAGATTGCATCTCATCATGCATGACTTGTTTACATTGAATAGTCTTTGTAAAGAAATAGTCAGTAACAATAAAAAAATTTTGTTTCTAAAACTTTCAAATTCTTTTTATAATAATAAAGTAAGGAAACATCTTTAGCCATTTATTGATTTGATTGAACATTCAAGATAGGTATTCATTATTTATTTATTATTTATTAATACTTTATTACGTTGAAAATTGCCTTAAAACTAATCTTGAAGCAATAAATATGAATCAATCTTATTAAAACGATTTACAAAAGATTACAACTTACAGATAAGACAAATCAGATTTAAATCACTTAATAGTTTCATTTTGAAGATTATAAAATCATATATGAATAAAATTACCTTTCCATGAAGAAGGAAAATATATCTCCCATCTCTACTATTTACTGCCTTTTGTTTGCATTTGATACCTTAAAAAAATCAGATTGAAAATATGGAAAATATTAAAACACTTTATTGCACAAAAATATCTTTTTTAAGAGAATTCATTAAAAAATTATTCTTGAAAGAGTAATATATTGTTCGCTTAATCTAAATATTTAAACAAAAATATATTTAAGGTATATATTCATATTCAGGTTCTCTTTAAGAAAAAGTTTTTTAGAGAAAAAAGTTTCAGAGAGAATAATAAAGTTCCTTTAAAATTATATTAGAGAACTACTTTAAAGGAATAAAAAAAAAGCCAATTATTTTATTTGTTTGACAGACCTGACATAATACGCCATACATAAAAGATGAAAATAAACAATATTTTTTTTACAAGATACTGATCTCTAATGATAAAAGAAAGGAGACTTGATAAACACATATTGAAAGAAAAATATTATAAATTTTCATTTTGGCATCTTAATATATTAAATCGATTACAATTGTTCAGGATTAAAAGATACTTTCACTCAAATTTATAAATTTAACAGAAAGTATCATAACTGTATATTTCTTGGGCGATTGAATAGATGCAACTTATTTATGCTCATTTCAGTTAAAATTATTTATAAAAATGATTATAGAAAATACAAATTTAACAGTTACAGGCTATTAACTGCAAGAAAATATGCTATATTGATAGGTGGCATGAGAAAAAAAAACTAATACCTACCAAATAAAAAGAAATTACAAACCAGCTTTAATATTGATAATGTGAGTCAAAATATTTTAAGGATTAATAGAAAATATATATATTTATTTGAAGGTATTACAGAATTATTATCAATATTCTTACATAAAGAACTTTAAAAGAAACTTATTTGTACTAAAATTCCAACTTTTTACTTTAACATCGATAATTAAACATAGATTTAGTACGATAGTAGTATACACATCAAATGCGTAAAAAACTCTTTAAACTATATAACAATCAGAAAACTTGTTAAACAGTTTAAGTTTTTTTTTATATAAATAAGATTAACAATTCTTTATACATTCCTTTTAAATACAAAGCTACTTCAGGAATAGATACACTTTACATTTTTTATTTATCTATTTTCGTGAGCTAAAATATTAATTGCTTTCCATGTATCATATGCAGCACAAATGAGCAAATTATCCTCAAACTAAAACAATTTATTAAAAATTATTATTTTATCCCACTTTAGTTAAATTGTTATTTAAAATTTTTAATATTATTGAATTTCAGAAACAATCTCACCACTCAAATCAAAAATCTTGGGAAGATTCAAATTCTTTGGATTGTGTTCCCAACTAGGCTAAAACAATAAACAAACATTAATGCATTGACAGAAATTGCAATACTGCACCAAAAACGAATAATATTTTATGTACAGAAAAGCAGAAAATTAAATCGCATTAGAACTAAGTGATTCAAAAAGTGAAAAAAAAATCTTCATTGAAAGGTATAGAAAACAACAAAGCTAAAAAGCAGTCTATTAAATTTAATGAAAACTGAAAAGATCAGACATTAAAATCCAAAAACATGTTAATACATATGTATTTCATGAAAAATCTATAGAACAAAGATCCCACACCAAAGATCGAACAATAGTATTTGGCTGGCTCAAGTAGCACTGTATTACTCGAGTTTAGTCATAAAATCCAAACATCCGATAACAATTATTAACCTGCACACTTAAAAGATCTGTTGCAAGTTCTGATGAAGTCTAGAAGATTCCTTAGTTGTCTTTAAGAAATATTTCAAAAATAGTCTTCAAATTTTACGCCATTGATGTTAAAAAATTTAAACTCAAAATGTCTTAACTTCATTAAAATGAAAAAAAATTATTGAAAATAAGAAAATTATTTTAAAATATTTATTATTTAAATAATCTTTAACTTTAAATTGTTTTTTACAGTTTGAAGCATTTTTTTTTTAAATAAAAATAAGGCATATCAAAATACTTGCAAGGTTAGAAACTAATTGACAGCAACAGTAAGAAAGTTGTGCAGAACAACAATGAAATTACAATTCACCATAAAATATAGCCATTTCTCCACCCTTCTGATTTTGATTCAGTGGGTGACCCCTTCTCACCGATCACTTCAAACAGCTAAGAAACAAATCTCTCTTACAAAGAAAAAATTAATTATTAAAATACAGTAGGGAACCGATTATCCGGAACAATCGGGACCATCACTATTCCGGATAACTGATTTTTCCGGTTTTCTGAATAGCTACAAAAAGCAGTTTTGTTTTATAAAACCCAACTAAAAAAAAATTAAAATTTGGAAATAATCTTAAAAAGAAAAAACAATGAAGTAATACACTAATGATTATTTCCAAAATGATGGTAAGTTAAACATCTTTCAAAAAAGAAAGAAAAATCCTAAAATGTTATGAGGAAAAAAACATTTTTTTAAAAAAATGGGGGGAAGGGGGAATTTATTGAATTTCATTCCGGTTTTTTGGTTTTCCGGTTTTCTGAATTCCGGATAACGGGTTCTGTACTGTAACATGCAAAAAGTATTGCGATAGCCGTCATTGAGGACAAATGGTTTTGACCTCTTCTGAAAAAAATACATTAAGTTGGATTTTCACAAAAGTGGTAACGTAAAACGGAGGATACTTTAACATTATAAATGAAGGCAAATATTTTTATTCCAGATGAAAATGATGTATGAAGCGAGTTAATGAACAAAGTAAAATAGAGGTTTTACTTTACTACTATTAGATGAGCGTTATCCTTTTTTAAAACAACATTCCAAACATAAAAATCTTATAAATGAAAACTAAAAAGCTAATTTCTATTTTCATTTGATTTAAACTTAAAGGGAAAAAAGAAAAAGAAAAAAAGGGAAACATAAGAAATAAGTAGATATATAAATTATAGTTAGCAATTACTAGTTTATGTAAATATGCATTAAAAAAGTTTTTTTTAAGTGAAAAAAAAGCTTTTTTTAATTGACAGAAAAAAGTATGAGACGAAATAACAAAACTGTTCATGGCAAATTGAAATTGTTTCAACCTCAAATTGAAAAATAAGAACAAAACTTTTTTACCTATATTGACTTCTATTATTTTTATAATCTATAGAATGGCTCACCTCCACAATACCATCAACCATATCTTCGATGTTGAAAAAATCTGGGAATTCTGGAACATGGTTGGCTGATAACCCAACAAAGCCCACAAGAAATGAATGCCGGTAGAACCGCAGAACACTAAAAGTTTTATAACCAGGGTACAGAGTTTTTAAATCATATTCTTTGAATGGCATATTCTGTAGGGTGGAAAACACTATTAACATATTTGTGTAAATACATAAATGATAAATATATAAAGCAGATAGAGTATTAAATAAATAAAAACATTCTTTTATTATTATAAGGTTTAAAAAATAAAGTCTTATTATATTTTATGGAAAATTAAATCAACAACAAATTTTTGATTTCCATGAATTAAGTATTATTTATTAATACACTATTTTCTACACTTAATACAATATTTAACTTTAAGGTACCCCAATTAAAATAAATTATTACAGCTGAAAAATATTTTGATAAAAATACTAAAATATATATTCAGAGGGTTTTAGGACATTAAACTAATTATTACAGAAAAATTTTTAAGCTATCAAAAACAGTCAGTATAGAAAAAATTTTAAATTGACGTTGTCCCAAAACTTTAAGGCACTCATTTAAAATTTCAATTTGACGCCTCATTATTTCAAATTTAAGTTATTTAGTATGAGTTAATTTTCCAAAAACAAGTCGCTTGCTGATTTTGATAATTTTTTAAGACTAAACAATATGACATAGATTAAAAATGACACAGAGAGAATTTCAATTACGGAATTGGATGGTCAGAAATGCTTGCAAGATTTTGAGATCCAGATGTATTAAGCATACTTTTTTAAAATTCAATAATAGTATGGAATTAAATATTATGAGATTTAAGAATGTGAGATTTACCTTGTTAGTGTCACATTTATAAACAGTATTATATGAAAACCATGATATTTTGCATTGCACGATAGAAAATACTAAGCAGACAAATTTTCAATTTAGGCGATGTTCCTGGATCAAAATCTGGGTCAGCGAGATACAAAAAAACAAAACAGCAAAAATATTAAACAAGTTCTTGTGTGAGGTCAGTTCCAAATTTAACTTAATGGGTGAACGTCTACTAGATGCTTTCATAGCAGGTCTGAATAAAAGGAAAGCGAGTACCAGACATTCACAAACACATTTAATAAGGAAGACACAGATACAAAGATAAGTAGACAATCAAAATAACAGACAAAACTCCTGGAGCTCTTCACTCTCTAAAATCATGAAGCCATCTGTCCATTCAAAGTTAATGCCTACCCATGTACACATAGCTCAGAGTAAAAAATAAGACTATTCTCCACATATGTTAAAATGGCTACAAGACTTAAGTTAAAGAAGCAACATGGAGACATTTGCTTACAATTTACAAATAGCCACCAAACCTGGAACAAAGAAGTTCAGAGATCCAATGAAAAAGGATATCTAGCATTTACGAATATTTCTAGCACATTGTAAAATATAGTAAGCAAATTGGAGAAAGCTCAAGAGTAATTTGGGTATCTTTCTGTTAGTAAGGAAAGTATGATATTGCATTTATGTGAGGTAATTAAAACATTGAAAACTATGAGACACTATAAAATTACCGCTTAACATGAACAGAATATTTACTCGTGAAAGAATAATGTTTCAGCCAGACTGACCTTACTTACATATACACAGCAAAAGCTACAAAATAGTTTCAATATTCCAAGAAAATCCAGTTATAAATTAAACTGAAAGTTCACCTGACCTGAACCCAATAATAAACCATTGAAAAATCAATTTAAATAACATTTACAAGGACTGCAAACAATAAGAAATTGTTCAAGATCTGAAATACCATTAACAAAAAAAAAATTTTTTTTTTAAACATGAAAAATTATATATATCAAATATTAAAAAATGGATGTCACACTCACTATTAGTGAACAAATTTTAAACATTCATTAGTCTTAATAAATAAGGATAAATCCAAAAAAACTTTAGAAAAATGAACTTAAGAAATGTATATATTTTATGCATAAACGCTTGTTTATTTTTGTTTTTTTTCTAATGTAACCATATTCTATACAACTAAACTGCATGACTTGTAATTATTAATAATAAATAAAACTAATGAATAATTTGAAAAAACAAATCCTTACATTTTCTCTTGAAGAGACACCATTTTCTTCAACGGCTGAAATATCATACACTTAAAATTAATTCAAGTTAAAGAGGAAAACTTAATAAAATAATAAAGTAAACGAAATAATAATACATTCAGAGAAAATTTCATACATAATAGATGAAATATTCAGCAGTGGATCTTTAATTTTAATCTCATTATAAATGGAGAAAAAAAATTAAAAAGTCCATAAATACTGAACCAAATATGGTCTATCATAAGTAAATAAAGACAAATGACACTTTTACAACTAAATGCAAAATATAAACTAATTAGTATAATGCATGTTTTTCAATTAAGGCAATAATCTATGTATATTAAAATGGAGAAACAAATAGGGGGAAAAAAAGAAAACTGCCTTCAGCTTTTATTTTCAAACACTAACTCTTCCATAAAAAAAAATTTATGAGCATGATCAGAATTTTCGGATGTATACTAATACAAGCACAAAGTCTGCCAGTGTTCTGTATAAAATTTCTGAAATGCAAAAAAAAAAATTTCATATTCTATTCCATTTTTAAAGAGGCCATCTAGCATTTTTTTTTTTTTTTAAATTCATAGTTCAATTTCCAGAAATAGTGTAAACATTAGTGTAATAAATATTGCTTCTTTTGTTCATTCATAGTTTGTTAAAACAAAAAAAAAAAAAACTAAAAATCAAGCATTTTTGGAAATTGATTTTTAAGTANAAAACTAAAAATCAATTTCCAAAAATGCTTGCATTTAAGTATGCAACAAAAATTTTAGGGAATAGAAAAAATTTCTGAAATTTAAGCAAGAACAAAAGAACATCACTAACATTTTATGAAGAATATCGGTGAGGGATTTTATTTAAAAAAATTTGTGAATATAAATCTCAATGTGAGATTTTTAAATCATCTGAAAATGAATTGTGAGGTGTAATTTTAGATCGTGTGAATATGAATCTAGATGTGAGATTTTTACGCAGTGTTAATGCAAAACTTGTAATGTGAGATTTTAAAGTGTGAATGTAATTTTAAATCAGGTTTTCATAGGTAAGAAAAAACCTAAAAAAATTTATATTTTGGGAGGAAATTCAGAAGAAAAAAAATGGAATAATTTTTAAAAAAAGCAGAAAAAAATTATCTCTTGTTACTTTTGAGCAGTGATGGGGAAACTACGGCCCGCGGGCCAAGTCCGGCCAGCGGAAAGGTCTAATCCGGCCCGTTTAAGAGTGCCGTCGTGAGAATGTTTGAACGCGTTCTTACTTCGTAATGTGACGACCCGCATAAAAACTACCTGCGGCGATATTCAAAACACAATAGTATTCTGGACAAATCCATCCGACCTAAACAGATGACTCATCTTCGCTCGAAACTTCCAGACACTCTCGCATTTTCGATTCATTGTTCTGTTTTCTGGAAAGAACCGGAAAAATCCAATTCCCGAACAATCCTTGCAGGTAGGTATAAATACAAGCGAGGCCGCCCGAAGATCAGTTAGTTAGCGACTTAGTCAGTCATCTGCAACGACCCGCTGTGACTCGAGTAATTGTTTGTGTAATCCCCGAAACTCCCACTGCCTCAATAGTCCGTGGGCCGAAGACTCAAAAGCAGTTCTAAACTGATTTTCGTTCCTACACTCGAGTGGCAATTTTAATCTTCCAAAATAGAACTCAATCTTGCCTGGGAAATATAAATTCACGAAGTTCTCCAAAATATAATAGGCCATTAATTGACAGTTATCAAAATATTGAAGAACTATTTTAATTTCATGAATACAGAATTTTGCCCATGAATATCCAAAGAGGAGGGTACTGTGACGTCACATGAAAATGAATTGACCAATCACAACCAAAAAGCTTCG